ATTTTCAAACTTTGTTCTTATGATTCCCTGAAGGGCATACCTTTTTGCATACACTGTATGCCACTAATTATCATTGGAGTAAAGATTTTAATTTAGCATTCTGTTGGAGCTATCAATGTTTTTATGCATTTTTTCTTAAGGAAGATGTGGTAGGTCTTAACACACAAAGCATAGACGACATATTTTAGTTTAACCGACTATTCCTTCCTCCCAGTTTGTCTGCTTCTCCATACTTCAAGGAAATCCTTTATAGTAAATTGCCAACTTTTGGTAAAACCACTTAGCACTAAACAATAGCGAAATTACAACTAGCTTATTGCCTTAACTTTCTTCTGACGACATGATAAGATGTGGCCGGACCTGACAATAAAGCCTATAAAAGATTAGGGAAGTTGAGAACTGCGAAATATTCCACCAAGAATAGCCTCGTTACATCGCCATGTGGTCAAACCTGGACAAACTCCTATAACTAATTAGCGAAATTTTTCATTTTGGAAAATGCCCTTTACCATATATAAGTCTAGAACAATCTTTCTAATGATCAACAATACTATTACGTGGCATTGTAGGTTTTGCCTTTTACGCCATTTGCGAATACATTTAATTGCTTTATATTGCGTTAAGGGGTTGACCTATTCGAAGGCCTGTGCCGTAAGATTCCGCCTACACACCTTTAACCTGCCAGGGTGGATAAATCAACCTTCGCCCAAAATAGCTTATAGTGCACTTGGCTACCTGTAGGTCCGTCATCTGACGCACCTTTCCTTCAAACACCTCCAATTTGCTTTTACTCCATGTAAAACTAAATTCTTCAACGTAATAGCAAACTTTTTAAGCAGCCGCTCTTATCTGGCCTAGACAATTTATCACTTTCTTTAGACTTGAACTTCTCATATATTGGCATTATTATTTACCAGTCGATCTCTAGGTTTACGTGCATTTATGTATTTCTTTCCTAATGTCTGCGCATAAAAGCTTCCAGGCTCCGCAATCTTAGATTAGGACGCACATTCATAAGTCTAACCTCGTTCTTAAGGCCGCTAAATGGGTTTATTTGAATTTCAGCACGTTGGAGAGCGTCTTGTTTAAACATATCTTAGTAAGTAGGATCTCCAAAACCTCCCTTTCACTGGTTAGAACCTGATTTAACAAAGTTGAAGTCCATTTGATGCTTCCTTATTTAAATCTTCGTTCTCAATACATATTTTGGCTTGTGAATTAATTAATCAGACACTGATTTCCTTTACGGCGCATCTTCTTACGTCTATTTCCTAAAATTGTGTATGCACCTCCATTTCAAAACAGGCCTTCTTTCTTTTCTTCACTCCACTTCATTCAACTACCTACGTTTATTTAAATTATCTTGTTCTCTCTTCACTTCACCTGCTAATATATCTATCCATTATTTTTATTTCATAAAGTTGAGCCTCGCTATATCCGATTGTCTCGTTCCCAATTCCGTTAAACCTGCCTGCATTTTAAGATCAAGCCTTAGTATTGTTTAAACTACATTTTTATCTCACCTGGTTTTCCGGCTATTCTTACCAATAATCGCTCTAAGTACTTAATATATTCGCTAGTTTACCTCTAATATAGTGTAATGCAAATGATTTTTTTAATTTCTAACCATAGTTGGTGCTTTTATGAAAACTTGGGCCTATAAATTCAGACAAAATTATTTGATTTGAGCAAGATTATTTCTTTAATACTATATACCAACTCTGCATTTTTGCTTATTGTGTTTGTGATTTCCCGATTTACTTTACTAACCAAAACATTATGTGTGTATTCTGGATCAATCACGAATAAAAGTTTGGAATTTTTCCGTTCTGTTTCGAATGTTATTTGTTTATACGAGTTACGCATCATTCACACGATATGGGTTCCAGTCGACGTTGTTTGTGAGAAGACTCATGCCTGACGTTAAATCAAAACTCGTCCTTTATTGATACCGACGTGAGGTCTCGAAATATACAGTTAGCATACCAATATTAAAATCACACGATTGCACTTTCACGATTGATTTATTCCAGAGTTATTTACGTAATTATAGCAAGGCTAGAAAAATACGTTGAGTAAAATGATACTGACCAAAAATAGAGGCGATATTTTCTTGGCCTTTACGTCTATTCTAAAATACTTATCTATGGCAACTGTAACATATCCTTTATTCTGCAATGTCGGCATTGTGGATGGGGCAGCTGTGAGGCAAGAAACTTAGGCTAGTAAAATAAATAAAAAGTAGTATATGGCTGACTAATGGTATATTTAAATTCTAGCTTAACAGTATGATCGTTTAACTACATGATTCTATCTTTTGCCTAATATAGATAAAGAAGAGCACAACCTTTACTCCAGCGGTCTAAGTGGAGTTAACTTCACAAGCGCATCCTTGATGAACCCTTCATCCGCTCATCATCCTCCCTCAGCTCCCAACAGCATCGCTACTGTTACAAGTTTTATTTCCGGCACCAATACCACTCCTGCTCTCTCTTTCTCTTGTTCCTCGGCAAACAGTGGGCCTGGAGTTTCCAGCCTCATAGCTTATACCAACAGTAGCTCTAACACCGTTTGTGCGACCACCGCCTCTTTAACACGTTGCGGTCCCCTTCTTTTCACCATCGCACCCGCAAGTGTCACCACGACTGGCACTTTCGTTTCTGGTGCAGCAGGCCTTGGCTACTCCACCATTACTCCATCCGTGGCTACTTTATCTACTGCCCCAACTGCTGTCATCACTACCATTTCTAACGTTTCATCTTGTAACACAACCAATACTACTAGCGGTTCTGGAATCGTTCCCTCTGGTATTGGTTTGGCGGCTGTCGATATCGCTCCACTATCAGTTTCTCCCGGTCTACAATCTTCGAACAGGTCGCCGACGCGAACACTTTATGTGGCTGGATTAACAGTTGGACCAACGGGGCCAGTAACTGCAGACCAACTAAGATTGGCCTTCAGGAAGTTTGGCGAGATAATTGTGAGTTTCATTCTTTCTCTTTGTGTCTAAATTACCTGTCCGTGCTTGACCTCCTGCTAAGAGGTATTTGTTTGATATTGTAAGCTTCACTTGTAAGGCAATGCTATATTTATTAAGGGCCAAATGAAATTCTAGTTGGATAGTGACGATACAAAATAACCTGTTGAAAAATATTTTATATCAAAATTTTCTACTTAATCAATCGTCTTTTTTTGCTGCCACTATAATTAATATATTTAATATGGTATCCCGAGAAAAGACCACAACCTTTTTTTCTCAACTCATGCTCTTCAGGAAATTTCAGATTCATTAAGTTATTATGGCCATGTCTCTATCCATTTATTTTTTCGAAATTATATGTGTGGATAACCATCACCCAAGGGCGTCCTTAGCCCCGTAAGCAATCATTATCCTCTTTTATCCGCCCGTTTCATTCTTACCATCCTTTGTCTTTTTAA